TAGTTTTATTAGTTTTCTATAAAAAGCAGTGAACGGTGACACAAAAGGCAGAGGGGAATTCTCTGTATGGAGGCCGGAGTGCAGTCTTCCAGTCTGCCTGCTGCAACAGCTCTGACCACACTAACCACTAGACATCCCCACACACAGTGCACAAACACCAAACTCTCCGTCTCCACAGTGCACTTCCTACAAAAACCACAAACCATTCATGCTCACTATGTCCATCTTTGTCTTTCTCTCAATTTAAATCATCCAAGCATAAATTAATGATCTACTAGGGTCAGTTTCTTGTGATTTTAAACAGCAAATGCCTTCCGCTATCTTAAATTACCACAGATATCTCCCTGTGTGTGCGGTTCTGCTGTGGCAGTGCAGTGAGGTTTCATTATCCCCGCGCTGGAATTCATGTTGATCCCGCACTGATACATCTGTCAGCCACATGTTAACTCAGCCAGCCGCTGCTCTGCCAGAGCGTGTGTATGTGAGTGAGGGTTGATGAGTATTTCGTTTTTTTCCTTCTATTTTGTGTATATGTATGTTGGTTTCCACGTGTATCTGTGTCCCCTACATGCCTCCATCGAGGGGGACTAGAGGCACACCGCTTCTTAGACCCTACACACTAAAAGCTGGCCTTGTAAAACTCCCGCTGGGACTTGTGTGACCCTCTTGTCCTCACAGATCTTTTAATATTTTTCACAACAACAATGGACATCAAGCAGTGTCTCATTCCATTATTGTTCCAGTGCATTATCTTCAAAGCATTTTCCTCAAACACTGGGTCTCTTATGCACAGAGCTGTCACCGGGGTTCCATGAGCTCATTGATGAAACTCCCTCTTCTTCTCTCTCTTGGAGCATCCCTCCCCAGCCCTCCCAAAGCTGAAGAGCCTCCCCAGATGTGACCCCCTGCTATGGACAGTGATCAGCAGAAAAGCCAGGCTGCGTAGGTCTCTTGTGAAAATCCTCATGATCTTGCGTGCAGAAATGAAATAAAGCTAAACTTAACGTGTCATAGACAACAGTCCCACCATGGGCACTTAGAAGAGGACTTGAGCAGCAGTAAAGAATCACCTCTCTGTTTCTCCTTCCTGACTGAGTATGTAACTCCATGGACTCCAGCAGCCAACACTGAGCGAGGATGCAGGAGAATCGGAGCAGAGAGCTCTTCAGCTGAGGACGGGCCGAGTGACTGTCGCTGTGAAACCTGGACAGCACCGCTGCTTAGCAGATTACACATACTGTAGTGGAAGGCTTTGCAGACTTATTTAAACACACACCATGCAGAAACTCACAGTTCAACAAGCTGCTGCCTATCAGTCTGTGCAGGCTTTCTCATAAACGTTTTCACATTAATAAGAGTGAAGCAAAGGTGACGCAATCCTTGCTTGGATTCCTCCCCAGCGCACAGGGCTGCCAAGAGTGGAGAGCTGCCCTGGCCGGGCTGAAGTCAGCGTCTAAAGAACAGTGGAGTTAGTCAGGATAAGTGAGCCCGCTGGGCAGCAGCTCTGGGCCAGCAGCCCCGCTCTCTAAGGACCTCTTTATGGCCGGTCCATCTCCCCAAGAGAGGCCCAACCCCTGCACACAGGGGCAACATCCGAAAACACTTAATCTGAGACAAAAACCCTCATCATACTGTACTTGTCAACACTGTTTTAAGACTAGATTTAACTTGACATATAACAAACTGCTACACTCGCAGAGGATTTAAAAGAAAAAAGGCTGATAAGGGTATGCAAACTGTAATATGACAACACAAATACTAGCATATCATGAGGAGTTTACCTTTGTTGTAGCAAAACAACAATAATCTAAAGAGAAATCCAAATCCTTAATAGTTTTTGAAAACCAATATCCGTGGATAACTTCTTACTATTGCAATGACACAGTATACAACCGAATGCAATGCAACTGTATCTGCAGCTCAACATCTGACCAGCTGACCTGTTGATCATAAATATTCTCTGCCTTGTTATTTGAAGTTGGGTTTTGTCTCCCAGAGGCTTCACATACTTGTGCTGCTTTGTTCTCCAATGTCCTTTCCTCATCTTATATTCAGTATTCTGTTTTTCTTCTCTCAAGCATCAATGAAAACGAATTTGGCCAAACACATAGTCACATCATCCCCACTCCTCATCCATCACAGCCTGTCACAACAGGAGTGGGGAAGTGGTCTCATGCTCATTCTGGGAACGGATGTGGATAACTGAGCTGGGTCGTGCTCACTGTAATACTCCTTAGTCCCAGCACTAAGATACTATTTAGATTATCTGAGAGTTTGTTTGTGCTAAAATGCAAGCTGAGTTGAGGATTTAATTAAAGGCTTGTATTGGCACGAGTAGGATGTATGAGGAAACCATTGAAAAAGTCGACAATGGTATCTGATGAAGACTCACCAAAGCCGAAGGCCGCTGGAGCCGGGATGGGAGCGGACTGGACCGGTGTGGAGGTGTAGAGGCCGGTCACCAGCAGGCCGTCGAAGGACACACTGGTGGAGATGGTTACTGTTGAGACAGAACAAATAAGATATTTAACATTGTTGTCAAGCTTTGAAACAGTTTGTTATGTCACAAATGTAAATGATGAGATCTAATACATAATATAACATATTTTCACAAGTTTTTATAACTCGCAAGAATATAAATAAACGTTAATGTTTCCATTAAAAGGTGACAAAGATGTCAAAGTGAGTTTCACAAAGACTGCATTATTAATCAAGGTTTTATCAAAATCACAAATGAAAATGAAGCGCAATATTTGGCAAATATAATTCTGAATTCAGTATTGTGGTGCTGCAGAAAAGTCTAGTATTCTACAGACTTATTGTCATTTCATATATTTTTCAATAATGATGTGAATAATTGTTCAAAATGTATCATTCCTTCAAATCATATAGCAATTGCAATATCAGTCAGAAATAATCCCAATTAGTTATTTTTTCTAAATTGTGCAGCACTAATGTTCACACTTTGTTTGCAAGCAACACAAATAAGTAGTGGGTGTGACGAACATGCATGTGGACAGGAAGTGTGGAAGTGTATTCACATCTCCCTGACGCCCTGCTGCTAATGAGCAAAGAGCTCAGGTGTTACCACATGTAAATATAAAGTGACCATTAACTGGGAGGCCAATGAGACCGAACGCCCTGCAGGAGGAGAGGAACGCGTACAGATGGGCAAGCAGGTGTTAAAGCACGAGCAACAATGTCACACCCACACACATACACACATAGGAGCCTGCTAAATGAAGGCTTGATTCAATTTTAAAGTCAAACAAACCATTATAATTAAATCACTGTTTGTCACACGGCTCATGAAAGTAATCTAACTCATCCTGAACAAATCACAGTGCTTTAATTGAAGCCTGTCCCTATTGACAACCATATAAGGAGAGAATGATGAGCTAATTGGCTGGAACCCTGATACTCTCGCTAAGCCTCTATTCATCACAGGTCATTGTAAACAGCAGAAGAGCAGAAAACTGCCAGAGGTCTATTACACAGCTGTACAGATTCACAGCTTAGTGTATCCGGCAGCAAGTTAACTATCGATCTACCCTGTAAACAAAGGCCCTGAGTGACGGGACCACAGAGCCAGCTACATCACTGGAGGAAGGCGCTCAGCCACTGGACTGCTTCCAGCCAGACAGATCAGAGCATAGGGGAACTGTCTGTGGCTCAAAGGAAAACACACTCCCATAAAAATACACTTTTACACTTTGGGGAAAACAATCCTTTTGCATGGGGGAAACATGAAGGCATTGTTATTTCCTGACCCTGGAATCCCCTTGCTTTTGGGTGAAAAGTGGATGGGGAAAGGAGGAGACACCCGCGGCGTTGGTGTGTTTTTGTGTAGGAATAGCAAAATGTCGGTCTGGTTCTCAGGGCGTTCATTCTTTTGGGCTTTGTGTGTTTCAATGTGGGAAGAGCAGAGTGTGTGGCCCACTGCCTGTCTGTCTGGGTGACTCCATTAACACGCTCTCGCATTGGCGCCCAGCATTTATGTGTGTCTGAATGTGTATGTTCTGCATGTTTCTGTGTATATTGGAAGTGCTACACCTCGACTTAAGCTCTCTGCTCCAGTCCCGCCTCTCCTCCATATCAAAACCTCAATAATTCATCCCTCCGGTCTCCTTATCATATCCAAAGACACCAAGCTTTGCCACTAATTCTGTTTTTACATGCTATTTGGAACAACACATACTACAGTAAATGACACACATGTAAGGCTGCTCTGTTTGAATATTTTTTTAAGACCACATTACGATCTAAGAATATGGTTCACACTTGATTTCATAATGTATATAGTCTATGCCTTTGTTTCAATCACCTACTGGACACCTGAAAATGAATTACACCTGTTGACAGAATATTGTACTATCTCAAAATAATGATTTTACAAAGACTCAATTATTTGCAAATATTTCTCTTTGGTATAAATATCTCTGTGTGAGCAACAAGTCATTTCTCTGTATTCCTGTTTTTTTGTCAGCACTGCCAAATTCTATCAGCATGTACAGCGTGTTCAAAAAGCTCTATTGTGCAAAAGACGGATATTTTGCTTGGCAACAGAAACATTATCACATTCAATCCATGTTGCTCAGTGCACCTCTCACACTACAATACCAACAGAATGCAGGCCTTTCCATTCAAACAAGCAATTATCATGTTCATGCTGAACATACATCTCCTCTTTTATGCTATTTTTGCTTCCCAGAATACATTATCTATTCAACACATCCATCCCAGAGTGTGGTAGGACAGGCTATCAGTGTTTACATGATGTTGTATTGATCCAAGGCCATGGCATGATGCTGTATTTAATGGAGTAATGGACTGGATTTAATGCATTAAGTTGAACCGGGCTTCACCAGCCTCAGTACATACAATACGCTAATTTCTGCATTTCCACTGACATGCATCACCAAGGTTACACACACTCCATTACTCTGCACAGACACTTGCATATGGGCTACAACACACACACACTTTTCCTGCCTTCATAATCTATTTTTCTCTACCCACCGCTTACACCTTTCTCCCAGCAGTGGTAAAAAAATGCTCTCTTCTGCACTTTCCTGCATCTACACCCTTCTCATGCATTCTCTGCTCCCTCACAGTGGTGTGCTTGCACTCCGTTTGATGTGGAACTTGATGGGGAGAAAGAGTGAAAGGGGAGGCAAAGCGTGGGGTACAAGGTTACAATCGAAAAACACGAGCAGGGGTGAAGAGGGATGAAGAGATAGGTAGTAGTGGAGTGGCCCGCAGAGAGCAGCGCTACCTGATCAATACAAATCCAAGATCTAAATTATTTAGACTGGCCTCTAACGCCCCTGCCTTCATTGCCTGTGGAACGCAACAGACGGATGAGCCAATCAGATGAGATTAGATCCAATCACCTGTGGGGCTACTTTTCACACACATGAGGTTGTACAAACACACACACACACACACACACACACACACACACACACACACACACACACACACACACACACACACACACACACACACACACACACACACAGATCTAAAGGAAGAGGCTGGCGGCCTTTGATGGTAGTCTTTAAAATTCTTGTCCATACTTCATTTCTTTCTGAGTACTGTTCACTTGGCCAAGGGGGATGAAAGCCATGAGGAGAGAATGTGGGTGAACTTTATTACCAACGCTCGTTCTACACATTAGCAGGTTCTGTGTGTGTGAGCTTCCGCATGGTTACTTCATATATAAACACACCGGGTGTTACACTAGATAATTTTTCCAAACATCTGGAGAGAGTTTCAGGCTTTTTCTGCAATAAGACTTAAAAGACACTTATACTTTAACTATGAATCATGGAGTGTGGTAAAAACATGCATGACAATCCATTGCAAATAATAGGGGACTTTTATAAACTATAATTGTATGAGTCTCTGAAATATTGATAATGCAGATTCTGAGGTTTAAGAGGAAAATGCACAATTCCAAACAAATATATACTTAAAATATATTATTGTTAACTCTGTTTGTCTGATTGCAAGGTTTGGTATTGGGGGATGGGTTGGGCGGGGGCAGAGTAACATGTGGAGGTTGCAGCTGTTCCTGATGTGTTGAAGACCCAGAGCTCTAGAGGAGTCAGGTGCACCTACAGGCACCTTGTTTCTCCCTCCCTCCCACTTCACAACTCCCCATCAGGACCTCTCCATGCTCCTGGACAAGTCTGCTGTCTGTAGTGCACCTGACTCAGTTCTTCCAAAAGCGCTCATTACACTATATGCATAGCACTCACACACGCACACACTCATACTTTACACTTGAACACACTATAGAGCACATCCCCTGGCCTGAAGCCGGCATGTAATATTGATGATGCGATGTGGTATGCCTCATTACAGACACACACAACCGTGCTCCTACTCAACTATTGATGGGCCTGGGGCTTTCTTCACTTCTGTGGATCCACCAGGAGTAATGTTAAGGCACAGCGCACTACACAACGCAACAAAACACACACGCTTTGCTTACAAGTCTTTCAGTGCTCAAGAACACACACACAGAATACAGACAGCAACGACTAATCAGTAATGGAAAATTAATATTCTGTGACAATCTATTGAGCAAAAATAAGATCACAAATAATTGCCAGTTGATTGCAATGCCTATATTTCCATTTATGTTTATTTATGTGCACAACAGCATGCTACTTTTTTGTACCAACAAATCTTGGCTTGATTTTGTTTGTTCAATTTTTCCGCCATATTTTCTACAGGTTTGCATTCCCTCATTCTAAACACTGCAAAAGCATCCTTAACATGGTACAAACAAGGTTTTGGGTTTTTTGGTAGGGGTTTTAAACTAATTCCAAAAACAGATGTGCTGTTGCATTTAGAAATGAGAACACCTGAGGTAGACAGGAAATCTGTTTTTTTTCTGGTTGTATCTTTATTTATTTACATGCACAGAGCAGCCATGATTAAAAGACGGTTTCAGACAATTTTCTTGAGAAGAAAGCGGGTTTATTAAACTGTGAGAAAAGACTAGAGTGTATGCTGGGTCAGCAATCATATCAGGCACATACAAATAAGGCTGAGTGGCATCCTAAAAGCATTGATAATGTCTCCTTCAGGTAAACCAAAGCAGGGTCTGCGTGTGGTAGGCAACACTTGGAGGCATGTGTTCATTCTTAGAAAACAGCATGGTGAGGAACAAAACTGGAGCTGGACAGGAAGCTCTGAGAGAAGACAGGATTTACATCTCAGCCTTGTCCACTTGCATTTAATACCCCTTATTTAAAATGCCCCAAGACTAAAAAATCATGGTTACACAAGGAGGTTGAAAAGACAACATTTGCCAGACCTCACTTATAGAGAGTAAAGAAAATATTGTCATCTGTCAAAGCATGAAGTAGTAGTAGCCACATAGCTAGGCAAATCCTTCAAAATGCTGTATTCTAAAAAAAGAAAATATTAAAAAAAAGAAAATATAAAAAAAAAGAAAATATTATCAATGAAATCCCCTTTTTTGTC